TCTCAAATGAGGGCTCGTCTTTTCCCACTGACCTGGTTGCCACCTTTTGGGGACATGTCTTGCAGGCTAAAGTCTGTCACCGGGACGGTACCCTGTGGCAAAGCCAGACTGGCCAGAATATCTGCCTCCAGTTATGAAAAACTGATTCGGAATGAATGCCGCACATACTGTTTTGTTTCCCATCGTGTTTGTCATGCTGGTTGCTCACTGGTCTGCGGATGAGGCAATCCGAGCAGGATACTTGGACTGCGACTGAGCCTGTGCCTCTGTGCAGGTGAGAGGAAAACCCGTTTTCCCCGAGCCAGTAGCAGGCTGCAAACAATATCATGAACATCCTCATTACAGTGGTCTGTCTTGCCAGCAAGAGAAGATGCTGAGGGAAATGAAGACTTCCCACATGGCTTTTAGCTTGTTGAAGGTTTACTGAGGAAGCTGAAGAGTGCAGTGGTATCTTGTTCAGTAACACAGCATGCTTCAGTGAGGTTCAGCTAGTGCCCTGAAAATCGTTTTTTTTCTAATTTTTTTTCTTTTTTAGTTCATATTGGTGTTACTTTTGCTGTTCTAGTGTAGCCTTCTGGCCTAAGGCCACCACATTTATCTCCCTACCTAACATAAGGTGAAAAAAAAAAGTTTTTGCACTGGGAATGAGTGCTAGGAAAGTATTTCTTAAATCTGGAAATGTTTTTTTGTTCAGAGACAGCAACCGACTTAATTTAAGTTTTCTGAAACTAGTAGCCTAAAACAAAAAGTCTCTGAATTTTTGTTCTCAAGCAATTTCTCTGATTTCCAATGTGTGAAGCACATAATAGCTCCCATTTGGTTTCATATGCTGAGTTCATTTTGTGCTAGTGTCCCTCTGCTGGGGAAACCTTTGCATGCCTTCTTATGGAAGGCAATTTTAAGCACTTTCTCTAAGCAGGGCCAAGGGCTGTTAATGAGGCCAAAGATGTGTTCCTATAGTTTTTTAATTAAACCTGTAACCAGTTGGTGACGCTGAGATTTGAAAGTGGGCTTTCTGGTCTGACAGACACTTATACAGTGATTTTGGAAAACTGATTAGTCTTATGAAACTATTGAAATGCACAAAGATAAGCATACAGGGGTACAGTTTTATAGCTTTGAACATGTGGTTTATCTTTTCATGGCTAAAGCCATTGTTTTTTAACATTTGAGTTCTATCATTATGCCTTCTTTCTCTGTGACTGTATTTAGAACTATGCTAACAGCATAAAATAAATTAAGCACACACACAAAAGAATAAAGGTTTCAGAGCAATTATCAAAAATATAACACTAGGTTACATAAAAGGGAAAAAAAAGGCAGGAGGGGTGGAAATCCTTTTCCACTGGGTCACAAACCAAACGGTCTTGAACTAAAAATAATCTTTCTATTGTTCTACAGAATGTGAGTACAAATTAATATGCTAAGTCGGATTTCACTAAAAGTCCTGATTATATTTCTCTGCGTATATGTAACGTTTTGGGGATTGCACTGATGATTTTGAACAATCACTTAATTCAGTGGGTCTAGGTGTCTTCTCCCTGTACAAAGCCACATTTTTCATGAAGGGAAAACGAAACCCTGGCAAAATTCATTTCTTTTAAAAAAATGAAAAATCATTTTTTCTTTTGAAATGACCAAACTGGATGATAAAGAGGCATGACTAACCCAGTATCCTAACGGCTTCAGAGAGGAAGAAAAGGGTAGAAGGGGTTCCCCAGTCATATAGCCAGCTTCCTGGGCAAAAAGGGGCTGGGTAAAGGCAGGATTTAATACAAAAGGTCAGGCTAGAGTAATACTTTTCTACTGAAAGGAAGGAGAACTCAGTAAAATTACTTGGTGATGAAAGGAAGGGAGATGCTGTTGTTATAGAAGGATAGCAGAGAAGCAGCAGATATTTCACGTTTGAAAGAAGAACATCACCGAAGTGGGTGGCTATTTGGTGATCATCAGTCAGTGGTCAGATTTGGTGGTTTTTTTTGCACTCAGCAGCTCATTAGGAAGGAAATAACAATGTTCTAGAGTCCCAGGTGAGTATGTAGGGCTTGAGAGCTAGTGGGTCAGCCTAAAGACCTCTGTGATGTAGGAAATGACTGTCAACAGTATATTTTTAACCTCTTAGTCAGTGATGGAGAGAGAGAGGGATCTTTACCTTCCAAATGCAATATCACTTAAGTATGAAATGTGCTCGTCCAGCACAAGTATATAATAGTCAGATTGGCAGAACATTAAGAGAAAGAGTAATTTTTTCCAGCTTCTCGTTTGCAGTCATTTATAAGGAGAGAAGGTCCCAGAGCAAGATCCTGCCCTGGCTGAGACCGCTCTGTCAGAGCAAGCGTAGGTTGGATCTTTCCTAATTCTCTGTTGCACTCAGCATTTTCCCTCTGGGGTTTTTTTCTCACTCTGTGAGGGCTCCGTACAGCCTCAGGCTGTGGTCAACATATGGCAATTTGGGAGCGGAAGACAGAGCATTTCCTTAATCTGTGACACTTCCTAGTCTCTCTATGTGCAGTCCACCATGCCTGCAGAGGCATCTCAATGGAAAGAGAGATGAATCAGTGGTGGGATGCCTTTTATCCTGTGTGCGTCTGAGCGAAGGCAAAAAATACGTCCTTCCTTGTAAATTAGTGCTGCAGATGCTGTTGCTGATGGTGTCGGTCTTGCAGAAACCAGCTGAACTTGGGAACTCCGTCTGCAACGTTGCAATGCAAGTCCATTTACAACGTGGTGAAGGCTTTGTTATGAGAAACATTTGTTGCGAATGGGAAAGAATATTATGCTTATATGTCTTGCGACTTCCCCAAATCATCCCTTCTCATGCTCATCCTGTAAAATTGAACTTGCCTAAAATCCTGTGCCATATAATGACATGGGTTTTCACACCAAAAAAAGCCTTCCGCCCCCAACACGTTTTAAATGGCACAGGATCTGTTATTCACTAAGATGCGATCTTTTTATATTTTCACACATTTCATCAGATAAAAACATATCCTGAGAAAGAAGGAAGATTAGTGTAAGTTCAAGATCTACTGTGTCTAAGAGGTTTGATTTTTAACCAAAATTCCCCTTACTTTTCATTTTATGGTGTACATCCTATGTGAGAACCTGATGCCATCCCTTCAGCAGGCAGAGTGGATTTCTTTCCCTCGAGTCGAGCAGACTAGGGAAGGTGGTCTATTTTGTGGTAGGGTTTATGGAATGCCTCTAGTAAATGAATCTGAAAATCTCAGAAGAGAGATGACTGCCTGTGGGAAAAATCAGAGATGGCCTTGGTAAATATCACAAAACGTTGTTTTTTAACACAGAACTTGTATTTTCTCTAGTGAATTTTGAGAAGCATATGGATGTGAGCATACCAAATGACAGCTAAGGGAGCCAGAAGAGATGTGAATCACTTGTTATGTTTTATATTTAGCTTTTATGTTGGAATTGATAGAACTACTGATGTAATTGGGCAGAGATTTGGTTCCCATTACTATGATATTTTAACGGAAGATCCAGAAATTGTGTTGCATGTCACTGTGTTCACAGAGCGGTGTGCTGTAAAATCCGGAATCTCTGGGCTCCTTACAGTAACTGCAGTGGGTTGATCTCCAGCCTGCTGGGTCCTGCTGGACCACCAAGAGCTTGTAGCTAGGCAGGGTTTCCAAGAAGCTAAGGTGAATACAGGCAACTCCAGGGGTGAAGGGTTTGCCCACGTGTGGGTGCGTATCCCGCTGCATTTAGCATACAGCTCAAATTAGACCTTTCTGAGTCTTGTGAAAAGTAGCTCTAGAGTCTCCATAGTCTTTACAATACTAAGGAGCTAAGCAGTAACAGGCTGGAGGACTGCAGCCCTACCAAGTTCATGGGGACAGGCGAGGGAATTGCCCACAGGGTTTTCTTTATGAGGTCCAGGTTGACCTGTGAGAGGCTGTAGTTAATCTCACAGCGATGGGTCCAGCACAAAGCATTGCAGAAGCATAAAGGAATTAACATTTTTATCTGGTAGTAAGCAGTCATTGCAAACTTCAGCGGAGATAATTTTCTACTTAAATTTGGTGTCAAAGAAATTAAGCTGCTTCATTTCTCAGAGGAAGTAGCTTCAAGCCCCAGCTGTGTTTCAGAGTGCCTTTGGGAGAAGGTACGAAAACTTGTTGCTCTGCAAAATAGTTTCATTGTACTCCTGTGCAGTGTAAGAGCTGTAATCTCACCCATGGCTGGGCAGGGGGCTCTAAGTCTTTGTCTCTGCTTTTGTGGGTCCCCATAGCCCAAGGGCACATGGCCATCCAGTGAGCCTCTTTTTTAAAAAACAGATTTTAGCTTTCCTGAGGTATCATAGACTGTTTTGCAGAGTGCGCAGATTTCTATCCCTCTTCCTATTTTTTTATTAATTGCAACTACAATTCTCCAGTCCTATAAGCCATTATCTGTGACAGAGTAGAGTGTGTACCACTCCTCAGCAGCTGCATCTCTCACTTAGATGCCATGTCCCAGAGGAAGAGCCGCCCCAAGTCTTCTCACACATTGAAGGGGAAACAAATTCTCATGTTATTCCTCTGGCCTCTGTTGGGAATGTGCATGCACTGGATAATGCTTTGACAGAGCACTTCTCATAGATACCAGGTGACTTCTTCATTAGCCCCTGAACTCTGATGCACATCTTTCCTCTCCCCACCCAGGTGGAGGCTCTGAGGGCCTCCGCCTTAGGAGGAATAAGTTGGATTTGAATTAGAACAGGTTTTTGTATATGTGAATAAATTCTGCCACAGCATCTTTGAGGACAGAAGTGACTAGTGAGGGATGGGGAAGAGGAGTAGAGGGCGGAGAAGAGAAGCAGTCTTCTACTTACCAAGGGGACTGCAGATACCTGAAGTCCCTTCCTTACCAGCTTTTGTGGCAATGTGTGCTGTGTCATGACGCAGAGGGGACAGCTCTAGGCTGCAGCAGGGATGTCCCTTCCTAGAGGACGTGATGAGCGCATGGCCCATTTGTGTGCTGCCTCTGCCCTTTACCTGTAGCATATCGCTGTGGTCTCTCTGCTGCCCCCGGTGCAGCATTGGTGGATTGACCGGGATCAAGCTGACGGCCTGTATCAGGCTCACTGGTATGAGTTTTGGGTTCTGCTCAGCAGCCCTACATCTGATCAGGCTGTAGGAGACCTGGTCAGTGTTGAACACGGATTGCATTGGACAGGGAAGGCATGAAAAAGAGAAGTGCTGCTACACTGAGCAGTGTTCTCCAGTTGGGAGAAGTGCCTGTATGTAGGAGGGGGGTCAATGTTGTGTTGGGTGCTGCTGACTCTCCGTAAGGTGTAGTGGGCCTTGCTAACACAGTCCTTGCTGTCCAAGGTGCAGGTTTGCAACCTTCCCACCTCTATACCTGAAGTTTGGTGATAGCCAGTGAGTTCTGAGATTGCCAAGACATGAATCAAACTGTAGTCTTAAAAGTCTGTACACTTTCATGTTTCACTCTATAGGATCCAGGGAGGATGAAAGCTATTATTTTAGCAGGCCAGATAGATAGACTTAAGAGGGAACATAAAGTCCACTCCAAGCAGTGAACAAGAATTAAAATAAGCCTTCTTGTGTCTATGCTGTTTTTTTAAGACAGGCTTATGCTATTGGAAAAGCAACTTTGATCCTTGGCAAATCTTCAGATAAAGCACAAATATGTCTGCTTTGGAATAAATCTATGGGGAGTTTCTGGATTTACATTCATAAAGGTTTAGCTAACACTAATTAATTTGGAATAAATTAATTCAACTTAGAAAAAGGCCATAAACTGTAGCTGAGATTGTTTTGGGGTTATTTGGCTCTGTCTTTCAGCCAGATCATAAGCGTTACGGGAATGTATTAAAGGAATTATGTGCATATACTTATATATATACATGAACACACATATTCCATAATGCACCTTTTTACTTTCCATCTTCCAGGTGCCAGTGAACGGTCAGCTTGTAACATCAGCCAGCATCAGAGAGAAAAAGCTCCTCAAGGTACCAGTAGTAATTTTAGAGCTTATATCATGTCTTTCAAAAGACACTTGTTTTAAGCACGTTTCTTATTTGTTGACCCTTTTGTTCCAACTCATTGCTCCCTTTGCTGGAGAACTTAAGAGCTGACGTAGGAACATAAGACCAAGTGACTCTCTAGTATGGTCATGTCATGGTGCTTGTTACCCTGGCCACAAGTGGGACGGTCTCATAGTCTAAGCCCAGAAGTGGAGTCTGGGAGCTCCTGCATTTGAATTCCAGCTCTGATGTGGGACATTTCTTTGAGTCTGGACAAGGGTTTTATCCTAGGCCTTGCAAATGCATACTGGTATGGAAGAAAGTGTCCATGCTTTATAGCCACTCTGCCCTTCCATGTGAGGAGCTGCCCAGGCTAGACAGGAAACTTATTTGTGGCAGGATGTATCCTGCCTTACAAAAGTCAAGAACTACTACATTAAAGCTAAGTCATTCAAACTTGAAGGCTTAAAGTGAGCTCTGCAATCTCACCAAACCATATGGAAATTGCATGAGCTACTGCTACACCCTTTCAGGCCAGTGTGAATTACAGATATGTAGTCTCCCTCAAAAATAGGCTGTTCTATGTCATAGGATTTTTTGTTGTTGTTGTTAAGCGTAAACGGGGCCTTAGCTCCTGATTTCAGCTTTTTCGGTTGTAAAGGGAGTAAATAATTTCCAGTTTTCCTCCGTTAAAGTCTTCGTAATGATGAATGCAAATCTTACTATAGAGCAGGTACCTGAATTACAATATGGGTTTTCTAACCTTGCGGATAAGTCTAATTTTGTAGGCCAAAAGCCATAACATCCTTCAGTTTGGGGTTTGCAATAAAATCTGCTCAGGAAGACTCTTGCACCCATTTAAAGAGCCCACTGACTAAGTGGTCTTTCTCAGAGTACCATTGTATCATTTTCATTTCAGAACAATTACCCTGATTCTTTTTCTCTTCTTGATGACATGTAAGAAATACCTGTTTTACCTTTGTGGCATGACTCTGACCTGCATCTCTGGTATACGCTCTAGCCTAAGAGGAAGAAGAAAGCCCAGTGCTCAGAAAAGGGAGTGTCAAAAGACCTGCTTTCTGTGGAAAAAGACAGACTGCAAGAGGAGGAAGGTAACAAAAGTTCTAGTTGTTTTGTTTGCTTGTTTATATTGCCAAAAAAGAACATAGGATGAAATATCTTAAAGGAGAGGTATTCTCTGATATTTTAGTGTTTTATGTTCTTGTAAAAGCCCAGAGGTCTGTTCTGTACCAGGGTCTTGTCTTTCTGCTTTTACTCTTTGCTTGTGGCTTCTGCAGTGCCGATACCCTGGAGCTATGGTCTCCCCGGGCAGCCTTTCCTTGGGCTCATGACTGAGGAGTGTAAAAGCACTGTGATAATGTACGGCCGATTTCTAGTACATCCGTGAGCAGAGCCAAGAGCTTTGGTTACAAGTAAATCTGTAAGGCAATCTGAGCAAGGCTAGCAAGGCTCAAGCAACCATAATTTCATTGGAAAATGCGTCGCATCACATTCCTCCCTACCCGCCTCCCCTCACCAAGGGTCATAGTGGAAACCATAGCATGAAACCTAAGCTTTCCTAGGCTGAGAAGATTATAATGTGATCGATGTGGTGGTGAGAGCAAGAGAAGCCCCTACAGTTGTTGGATCAGAGTCCTTCGTGTGGATGCTTGTGTCAGCAGCAGAGAGCGCAAGGAGAGAAAATGGGAAACGACAGAGACGATCTTCAAAACGATGTGCAATTTTTTGGATGGATGAGTTGGCTGAACTGTTCCAGGCTTTATTCAGGGATGTTTGGAGAACAAAGATGTCTGTCTCAGCAAAATCAGGGGACTGCTTTTTTATATATATACATACACATATATGTGTGTGTTTGTGTGTTTGTGTGTGTGTGTGTTGTGTGTGTGTAAATAAAACATTTGTGCCAGTGTGTGTGTGTGTGTGTGTGTGTGTGTGTGTGTGTGTGTATAAATAAAACGTTTGTGCCAGTCCCTCCTATGACTTCCGCAGTGTCATGGAGCATGTGGTTAAAGGCAGAACATGGCCCAGGCGATATAAATGAATGTATGCGGAAATCAGCTGCTTTGCCGGGGGGCAGGACACATGACAGAAAGGTTTGTGACAGGGATTTCTTACGTAGCGCAGCCGGCGTTTCTGCGCGGAGCTGCAGAGAGGGCAGATCTGCAGGCTGGGGAGGTGGGAGCCTGCGCCTGGCCGTGGCCCCTCTCGGTGCTGCAGTGCCGCTTGCACAGCCCCGGTCAGAAAGGACAGTTCCTTGCCTGCTAAATAATATGAGCAGCAGAGGAAGTTTCTTGTTAACTTATAACGAGTCATGGGGAACTTTGCTCTTCGTTGCAGGAGTTTGGCAGACCAAGATCAGCAGCCGAGAAAAGAGACACTTAAGGAAGGAACGGCTGAAACAAAAAGGTAAATCTACAAAACACTTCAGTTTACAGACACAGTCTGGCTGGGCTTGTCGCCTCTTCTGACTTCCCAAAGTCTTTCTACTTACTCAATTCACCATTAGGCGGCAAAATCTTTGCGCTCTTTTAGGCTGCTGACTTAGGAAAAAGGTTTGGGAGCTTTGGCTTTTACTCCAGGCTTTCATTAAAACACATGGTGTTACCCAAGGGACTTTGAAAACAAATGGCCATTACATCCGAGATCTGCTAAAGATATGCTGTAATGTGGATCGCTTACTTTTGCGAGGCTTAACAAAAGATGTTTTCCAACAACTGATATATGAAAACCTGCATAATTTACCCAGTTCCAAAAAGGTTCTTAAATCTAGAGCTACCTACAGTAAACAGCTCTAAAAGGGGGATACACTCTTATCCTAATGAAGTAAAATAAAACAATGCTTTGTACTCACACATGTTTCCGCTGGGGATTTCAGAGTGTCTGCCATGCACTTATGCCTACATGAATTTCTACTGATTATGTTACTATAACTGCTATATAAAAGCAGGCCATGAAATCAATGCATTTGGAAATGTCTTGATAATTTAATTATCTGTGATAAAGCTATTAATATAATAGAGAAAGGCATGAAATTTAAAAGCTGAGATAGTAGTTTGGAATTGGGGCACAGAGCTAGATAAATATGGATACTTGTGGTCTGCCTGCAATAAGACAGTATCTTAAGATGTCCTCAAGTGCTTTTCTAAAATTGAAGATCAGAGCAAGTAAACAGCAAATTTTGATCTAAAAATATACAGACATTTTTAGACCGCTTTCTTGCTATTATTTAGATTATATAAATCAAGAGCTGACTGTCTATATGACAGTCTCTAAGGGCCTAAGGTGCTGAAGTCTCTGCTTGCCTTCCAGCGAAGTGTCTAGGCCCCCATTTAGCCTGGTTCCTATAAGTTGGCCTGTTGACATCAGTGGTGCCAGCTGCATGCGTTAAGTACATGGTTACCCCTACGCATGCGCGTGCCAAAGTGCTTTGCTGGCCTGGGGTACAAGTGTCCCACAGCAGCAAGGCGTAGTTGAACTATCAGAAGTCGCTGGTGCAATTCAGGAGCCCGAGTTAGGCAGCAGGCTGAACTAGGTGATCATGATGGTCCTTTTTAGCATTAATATTTACAGAGCAGTGAAATGTGCTCTTGCTGCTTCCAGGGTGAAGCCTTAGCGCAGCTGAGCGTCAGCTGCTGTTTCCCAGCAGGGAACAAGCAGCAGCAGCAGCAGAAGCAGCACCAGCAGCAGCAGCAGCAGCGTCAAGCTGTATGGAGTGCAGTCAATGCCGGCAGTGGTCCTCTCCCCACCAGAGCCCCAGGGAAATGCTGTGCTTTTCCAAAGGCTGGAGTTGTAAAGTGCTCTGGGAGTCCTCCAGAACAAAAGACGTTGGAGATAATTATCGTTATTTATAATATGGGTACGCCCAAGCACTGATTGCTCTAGCAGCCTTGAACTACCAACATCCAAGAGGTTTACTTTCCTTTTCCCCAGAGGGTGGAGATCCTGCTGTTTACTTTCTCTCCCTTTGCTTCTGTGGCTCCTCAGCTGGCTTTCAAGGCCTTGAGTCATTCTCACAGTCAGGAAGGGGCGCCTAAGGTCTCCTGTGGTGCTGCGTCATCTCCTGTAGGAGTCATTGCCAGACTGCGGGATGCCCTCCTTCTCCTACGGGTTTCGTGTTTGCTGCTTTTGGTGTCCCTGCCCAGGGCACTGCTTTACTGTGCTTGCAACTGTAAATATTTTTGGTTGGAATCTAGCCATTGCATCTGATGGGTTTCGGTCAGGGTTTGCTCTACTCTTTCTCCTGTATAAACTCTCAGTTTTCATTAAAAATAGCAATAATACCGTGGTAATGTTTATTCCCCAGAAGACCCCAGCAGAGCATCACGAGGTAACTCTGTGGTCGAGTGGGAGGAGAAGGGGACAGTGTGGCCACGCACAGCGAGCGGGGCGGAGGACACCAGTGGCCGTGGGAAAGGCAGCCTTGTTGCAAAGGCAGAGTGTGGGACTGCGCTGAAGACCTCAGAAGAATCTGTGCCCTCCTGGTCAGAAGAGGATGTTTTTTGCAATGTAGGTGAGTGCCTACGTTCAAGCAGCCCAAGTGAGAGCACTGCAGAGCTAAAGTTTATTGAATTACCATGTTCAGCAGAATAGGTTAGCTCAGATATTCCCACTGACGTTCGTCCTGGTATAAATATACACACACGGTTGTCCACCCTCTTCACTGAACCCTGTTAGCTGTGACTTACTTTCTAGCATGATGGCAATGTGAAAAGAAATAGGGGTATTAAATGCAGGAATTTCTTCTGTGCGGCAGACTACCTGGTGGGTGTAAGTTGTTTTCTGCCCATGAGTATTTAGTATTATTCCCAGCAGGGGAATAGTTCAAAGTGGTCTGTTCGTGTCAGTGCTCTGTTTTACCTACAGAGTTTGCCCAGCTTCCTCGCTGATTGCCCCATGTTGGTATCCGAACAAGTTCATTTAGCACAACCCTTGACTGTGCTGCTGGGACATTGTCTGTGTAACCTAGGCAGGAAGTGGGAAACTGCAGCTCTGAAAATTCAGACTCCTTTAAAGCAATGAAGAGACAGATTGCCAGGCCATTAGGCTGAAGATTAGGAGATACTGATTTTAGCCCTGTCACTCTTATCTGGAGTTTTAGATGAGTTTTCATTTTTCATCATTGTTTAATTTTTATGGCAGAGCCATATCGGATGTATTTCTACTGTGAGGGATACCACAGATCCTAGAGCAACACAAATAGTTCATAAATAGGCAGAAACTTTGACCTGTGATATCTTTCTGGACTCTTTTTTGAACCTCTGGGTGGCTGAAAGTGGTTAATACTGCTTTTTGGTTAATTCTCACAAGCATCCGATTTTCATTAAGCTTCATGATTAGATTGGTCAGTATATAAGGCCATATGGTGACTCACCTTCAGTAGCAGTAATCCAGGTAGAAACTACTTTCACCAGCTGTGAAAATGACATTGTATTTTGGATTACTGTTTGCTTGTTTTTTTTAAATACAGGTACATGGGATATTGCAGAAGTGAAATCCCGTCCTGTGACCTTTGGGACTTTTTCAGAGCTGTCCAGGGAGTTAGGTGAGCGGTCTGTCTTTGCTTCCCTCTGACTTTTTCTTCAACTTTCATAGGTACTTGAAGATTTAAAAGTATGCTATCATTGCTCATGTGTTGGTCTTTTCCCTTTAAGCCATACTTCATTAATCACGTTACCTTTCAGAGCATGGTCACATTTGCAGTCTTATGCACCAGCATTTTGGGGAGTGATGTCAGAATGTTTTGTTGAACACTTTCCAAGCTGTTGCCTCATCTCGCTATGAATAAAGTAAAATATTGCCCCCACAGCAAATTCTTTTTCTGTTAGGTTTTCTCACACAATGAGATTTCTTGTATGTTCCGATGACCAACAAATTCAGGGAATTTGCTGCCTTCCTCAGTGTGAGATGCCGAGGCTGGAGAGGCCCCGTGAGAGAATGCCCAGCCAGCAGCTTCCTCTTCTGCAGTTAGGGAGTTTCAGCTCGAGCCTGCCAGCGCATGGCCCAGAGAAGGAAAAAGTGTTTCCTGGTTTTGCACTGGTCTGCAGCCTTGTTTCTGCTTTCTGCTTTGCCTCTCTGCAGTTGTCAGGACTTTTCACTGTGCGGCTCTGAGTGCTCCTGTAGTGATAGTGCGTGTTGCCAGCAAACACTGCCTTGCTACTGAGTGCTCGCAGGAGGGATGCGTGTGTAGAGGGCTGGTCTATACAGTCTACTGAATATTTCCAAAAGCTTGTTCATATGTTCTCTGCCTACCAGAACCTCAGATTGAATTCAGCTGGCAGTCTGCGTGTCTGATGAATGCAGAATCTGGACCTGAATGTTTTAGGAATGCTAAAAGCAAGCACAGGTACATACACACATTCATGCGCCAAGCATAGGTTGCGTGGTGCAAGCTAGAGCACTGAAACGCTATGCTAAAGCCAGACGTTACCCTCCATATAATGCCTGCCATATTTAATCATCTATTTTCCAACACCGCATCAAAGAATTGAAGCAGTTCCTAATGTATTCAACAGAGAGACGTACTCAGCAGAGAAGTATTTGTTCACATCTGCATTTATGCAGCAAAGAATCAAGCTGATAGAGCAAAACTGCATAAACAAAGGACTTCTTTAGGTGAAAAGAAGAAAGGAAAAATCACGCAGATATGAAAAGAAGTCTGCTAGTCTGTTATGCACAGATCTTGTAAGGGGATAGATGAATCCTATGGTTTGCTTTAGCTGTTGAAAATAATCATCCAGAAAACTTTAACCCTTTTTTTTTCTCCCAGCTTTCTCTCATCTGTATTCTTCCTTTCAGCAATGCATTTGGTAATTATGGTTCCAGCTGAATTTCTGTTAAAATGAGTAGATGCTTTCTCACTGAAGTCACAGGGAGTCGAATTGGGCTTCGTTAGATGTGGCTTTTGTTCTACAGGAGTTGTAACTCCCATTTGACATCTCCAACAGCCATTTGTCAGAGATTACCAGTCTGAATATTGCTAGCGTTAGCACTCCTGAGTGGGGTGTTACAATAACAACTTACGCATGTAGTGTCCTTGTTCAGCCTTCTTTAATAAATCCCCTGTGATGAGCAGCATGGATTAATGTGTGACTTAACTTGCATAACATCCAGGCATCATGACATAACTTGCAGATAAAGGCATGATTGATTGGTTTTAATAATGTCATTGCCTTTTAGCTTTTGTTTTTATTTTTTATTAAAATATTTGCTTTTCCTGTTTGCAGATAATGTGAAGAGCAAATCATCTGAGGATAGCCCTTCCAGACACTGTTGGAAGGCCAGCGCGCCTTTCCTCACGGCAGATGATGTATGGCAGGGGCACGGTATGACTGTTTGTCCATTGTATGTTGAAAAATGAGCATAGTAACGCTGATATCTTTCTCAGTCTGTTTTCTAAGCCTCAAAAATCAGAGGCCACTTTCCACAGGGCTTATTCACACAAGGTTGGCAGAGGTAAGGGTGAAATTCAGTTTAGGCCTGATTTTAGGCAGACTCCCAGAACTGCTGCAAACTCAGCTGGAGCCGTAGGCGCCCTGCATGGGACCCATGAGAATGGTGAGAATTTAAGTTTTATTTAGGTTTTTACTTAAGCAGTGGCAAAAAAGGGATGATGAAGATACAGTCTTGTTCAGTACATACATATTGCCTGTTGAAGTGTCAGTAGAGCTTCTGGACACTGAGACCAGCCAAAGTGGGTCCATCTAAAGGCTCCTCCAGCCTGGTCTCTTGTCTCCTATGGTTGCCCGTAGCAGAGGCTGGCAGATAAGCATAGGAGCAGGGCAAGCACAGAGCGATCCCCCCTCTCGTGTCCCTCCCTGCACCCAGCAGAGAGGGGCTCAGGGCCCTCCTGAGCCAGAGGCAACAACACGGGTTCTGTGTTTCAAAACACACGTGTTAGCAATCATCTGAGATTACTAAATTTTCAAAACAAATTCAAAGCGACGCTTGGTTTTCATAACTGGTGCACTGTGTTTCTCTCTCTCACGTCGCTGAGCGGGGAAGGTGGAACCGTGTGGCCTGTTTCCAGCCCGCTCCCAGCGCGGGCGCTGCAGGGTTGCATGGCGTTGCGCGCTTGGCTGGGGCCACGTGGGGAAGAGCGCTTGGCAGGACATGGTGCTGTTAAACCAACATGTGCTTTTGTCGAAACGTAAAATGTCCTCTGTAAAGACTGAGAAGTGGCATGCTGTTAGCGCCCTTTGAGACCTCCAGAAAGCCAGGCTTTGTTGAAGCAAAGGACAAAATCCCAGTGGACTGTGGTGGACAGCTTTTCAGCCGTTTTATGTCTGATAATGTTTAGTTTTACTTCTTAAATCCGTTCAAAAGGCCCATGTAGATCCTGAGTGGCTGGAATGATTTGGCATGAACAGTGTGGGTATTAGATGGCCTTTTCTCTTGACCTTTTGGTCAGGATCAAGTGCAGTATCTATTTATACCCCTGTTGTTGGGATGCCCTACCCTGCTCTTGCAGGAAGGATAGCTCGCAAGCTGAGCAGACCCCTTCTCACTCCAACTGTTCTGATTATCTTAGCTAAAGCAGTAATTGAATGCAGAGAGGGAAAAAAAGGCTGCACTCCTCTTGTGTCTCTGCCTAGCAGCAGTTGCGATTCTGCAGCAGACCATTGGAGGATTTTATAAATAACATAGTTTGCTTAAACAAAAAAAAGGAAAACGGCAAGCATTCCCCATGCTTAGCGCTCTGTTTGTTTACCTCCAAGGAACTGCTCGTGAGTGCCAGGCCCTTTGTAACTCCTGAGCACACGCTCCTCTGTGCTGGGAGCAGGGAGGTGATGTACGTAGGTCTCTAGCCGTATTTCCTTGCATTGTATTTGGCACGTCACACACGGCATGCTCTGAATTTGATCCGCCGTTGGAAAGTCAAGCAGAGCTCCGTGTTCTCGGTAGGATGGACCATGGCTATCTGACAGCAGGATGCGTAGAAGCAAATTCGACAGCTTGCTCTTGCAAATGTCTAAGCAGAAGCATTTTGACTGAAAGCAGAAATGGAAGGTTTTCTGCCTACGTTAGCAGCTTTCTTCTTAGTGGTAGTAGGTTTTTCCTTTGAATCACTCAGCCTTGATTATCGATGCAGAGGGGAGTGTCACTAACGCGTTTTCCCTGAATTTAGATGAGGTAATGGTTGGCATTAAGGTTTGTGCTGCAGGCAGAATTCACTCTTTCACAGTTAAACAAGGCCTGTTAGCTCTTGCAGTTCTGCGAACTAAAAAATGCCATTTATAACCTGCATAGGAGCAGGGGTAATTTTATCAAATCCAGATCAGTACACTTAATGAGTTCCTTTGTTTCCGGGACAGGGCTGTGCAGAACAAGGAGCTCGGAGGCTGGACGCCTGCCTTGGCCACGGGCTCCCTTGTCAGGCGTGGGCCAGCTCTCCCTCCCCCTCAGGTTATCTTTTTGTGAAGCACTGGTAATAATAACAGCCTAATTCACAGACGGTTTGAGGCTTAAATTTCGTTGCAGTTGAATACATATATATATATATATACGCAGAGAGAGATGGGAAGGGAGAGAGAGAAGGGGAGGAGAGAGAGAGAGGTAGCAATTAGGAAATTGGAGATTGCTGTGATATGAGAGTATTTAAGAGACTGATAAATCAGGCCAGTTTCAAAACTACGAGGTTGACTTTAATGATCCATACTGCCAAGGGTTGATTCTTAACCATTACCGCATCTGGAGTGCTGTGTCCAGTTCTGGGCTCCCTAGTACATGAAAGACTTGGATATACTGGAGTGAGTCTAGAGCAGGGCCACGAAGATGATGAAAGGACTGGAGTATTTCACATATAAGGAGAGGCTGAGAGAGCTGGGACTGCTCAGCCTGAAGAAGAGAAGGCTCAGGAGGATCCGATCGCTATCTAAAAATGCCTGATGGAGGGAGTAAAGAAGACAGAGCCAGACTCTCCTCAGTGGTGCCTAGTGAAAGGACAAGAGGCAATGGGCCAAAATTGAAATACAGGAAACTGCATTTAACATAAGAAAACACATTTTTACTGTGATGGTGGTCAAACACTGGCACAGGTTGCGCAGTGAGTTGTGGAGTTTCCATCCTTGGAGATATTCAAAACCAGACTGGACATGGCCCTGGACAACCTGCTCTAGTTGACCCTGCTTTGAGCAGGAGGTTAGACTAGATGGTGTCCTAAGGTGCCTTCCAAACTTAACCATTCTGTGAGTCTGCATCTATGATCAGTCATTGTCTCTACATATTCAAACATGTATCAAACAGTCCTTAGCCCTCTTATCTTAAATTAGCTAGGAATTGATGCCACCTGGTTTGTGCTGATGGCTGTGGTCCTGGATGGTCCCAGTTATGGAGGTCAAGGTGGCCAGGCTCAAGAGCTCTTCATAAGGGAAGAGGGCACCAAAGGAGGCGGCTTCTTTTTTTCCCATTTTTCCCGGTTCATCATTTGTGTTTGTATGCTTTTCATCCTTGCCATAAAAAGAAAAGAAGGAGGTGGAGGTGTATCTCCTCTGCTTCTGGCGTAATTCATCCTATTTTTAGGATGAGGACTTGTTCTGGTTTCTCCCGGCATCTTTCTTGTTTGTTCTGCACGGTTATTCTGGTTCTACCAGCCATCTCTCCCACCTGCTCTACGTCCATTGTTCCTACCTTGCCGGTTTTACTGCTTGTGTGTGTTTTCTAGCGCTGCCTTTGTACAACTATACCACAAGTCTCCCCCTGTCCTTTTGGTTATATATTATTTATGCACTTACGCTTAGCTGTGTCTCAAAACGCTTATACATTGTGGCTGGTTATGCTGTTAATAGTTTTACAACATTACAAAATGCATAAATTGTACAGTGTCACTGACTGAGCTATTTTAGAGTAATTATATCTGGTTTCAAGGCGAGCAAATATTAATTTTATCATGTACTTCTACTTACGGGTGCAACAGGCTTCTGCTTCGGAGACAGCACGGGACGCAGCCTGTGTGGCTGCTTCTCTGGCAGGGCTGTCTCAGGAACCTATGTTCTGCAGCATAAATACAGCATTTCTCGTTACCACGAGGGTTGTCCTTTCACCTGTAACCTGGCATTTTCCCAGTGAATCCGCTTTGGTTGCTGAGGCAGGTTTTCCCTGGGACCTTCAGAAAGCTCCTGTGTCTCATGACTCCCTTCCTTCATTCGGTCCTGAAGTTAAACTGAATTGTAATTGTTTGGTTTCATGGGAATAAGCAGCTTTCATTTGGATTAAAAGAAGTCTTTAGTCTGGGATTTATTTGATACTTTTGCATCCGCTGAATTATTCCAAAGGAAGGTGCCAAATGAGGGAATCCTCCACCTGGATGTTGGTAGCAATAAATTTTATCAGTATCACATTAATGTAAGTTATAGACTGGAAATTGTTGTCTGCACTGAACGGATTCCAGTTGCTCTACAAGCTGAGCAAGGGTCTGGGTTACTACCTTGCTCACTACACAGCCACCCACCCTTTGCAAAGGGACTGATTCTTCTGCAGCTTCTACAGAAGAACTCAACACCATGAATAGTATGCGCTGTACTGAGGATTTTGCTCTGCAGGAGGAAGGGCTCCTCTCCCTTAGCTTTCTGCAGACCGCATTCAGGTAAAGCATGGCAAAAAGGCTTCTTGGTAACTTAGGATCCAAAGCTACAACTCTAGAGTTGAAAATTTTTAACCCTCTTTTTCCAATTGACTCTTGGTGACACTGAGTGATTTTTGTTGCAATACTTTCTTGCTGCTTTGTCCATGCCAGATAATTAGGTTCAGTCCATAAGGTACCCTAGCTCCACTCCCCTTCTGCCAGTGTAGGAACCTGCTGACCATCCCCCTTTGGCCAAACCCCACTGCTGCAGGGCCTCAGTGCCTGTGCCGCCTCACCCATCCTTCCACCTCCCAGGGCAACCAGCTGCTTGCTTGCGTTGCTGGGGACCAGGGCCTTTGGGTGCTCTGTCCCAGGAGGGATTTGGATTAAATCCAAATCTGTATTCTGCTTCCTGGCAGCATCCGTGATTTCTGAGGATACCCTCAGGCTAGTGCTCTTCAGGATCTTAAAGCATTTTAATGATGCAGGGTGTGTGAAAATCACTTTAACCCTGACACACACATGCAGAGTGGGATGTGTTTGCTGTCCAAAGGGAACAGAGAGGTACAGCTTTGGCCAGGTGAGTCTGCTGGAGGATCGAGGTGAGCTGCCAGCAAGAACCTGCCTGGAAATGGGACTTAATAGTACTGCTTTTGTAAAAATGACCAACAGGAATTCTCAGGGTGTTGGTCTATAGACGAGCTGGAAGAGAGAACCTCCTTCAGCGCTAAATCCACCAGATGATCAGAGTTTTCCTGTCTCCCAGGAAGAGTACTTACTTGCTGAATGGCCCATTCCTTTTCTTACAGTATTCACGGTCTTCTGCCATTGAAGAAGCCACTAACCAGTTTTAGCCTGCGAGATCATTTATTACCCAAGGAGGACCTCTTGCTAATTTAAAAATATTAGATGTTATTTGAAGTACAAAGCCATTCCAGGAGAGGTCACCATAGCTGGAAGGGAAATATGCTATAGAACAGGAAAGGTTTTAAACCAGAGGTCTAGGATAAGTATATTTAATCAAATCCAGGAAGTTATAAAGAATTGTGTAGTGCACTTCATTTTACTCTGGGTTGCATTTAAACTCCTCTGTGACATAATGCTTGACACAAGGCAGAGTCACTGCTGCCTTCCTGAGGCTCATGCTTACCCACAGGACTAGGGTAAGCATTAATATAAGCCAATTGCAGGAAATTAGCCATTAAAACTACTTTATGCTTAAAAATAAATACATCAACTCACTGTTTGAAAGATCAGAACTCAAGTAAATAAGTGAAAATGACATTGGTGGCCTCCAGGATGTGTTCCTTAAGGGGCAGTCTGTTTTTCGTGCATACTCTTAGTTTCCCCTCACACGAGCACCCACCGGCAGAGCTGCAGCCCAGGATGGACTGTGATTCCTGAATTATTCTTAGAGCTATTTCCCAATTTCCTGCCTAATTTTGTGTACCCTCCTGTGAGCTAGAACGTGCCTCCTCTCTAGTAGTAGCAGCATAAACGAATATTACCCCTTCGTTTGCTGCCGCAGCTCACTTGTGGTATATTAGCACTGACGTGGAGCGCGCCCAGCAAGGGCCATGGAGGTGGGACTTGCTGCATCCTTGCCCTTGCTTTCCTGATGGGGCTCTGAGCTGATCACAGATATGCGGTAGAAAGTATGTGTTGGTATTGCCTTAAACCACTACAGCTCCATTCTCCTGAATTTGTGAGTCAGGACCATATGTAACCTAACCGAGGAGATACCACCACCAAAGCTTTTGGGTGGTGGTATCTCATACCACAATTTAGATGAACTGGTCTGCACACATCCAAGTGCCTAAAACACTTAGACTGTAATTTTATCGGGCAACATATTAGAAAACACTTGTTCCTATCCCTTGTGAAGAAGGAAAAAAATACTGCCTATATATAGGGGATGGGTTTTAAACAGAGTAACTTGAGCAATATGTTTGTAATTATGTTTATAAAATTTGGCAGCAGGCTGGACAGAGCAACTTTTTGGAAACGGTTTTCTTTTATCATCCCCAGCATGCTTTTGGTTTTGGCCCTGCTTCAACTAGAAGTTTTTCCATCCAGCTTGGGATTTTTTTATATTTGGTTTTATTTTAAGAGATGTGATTAGCTAAGAGTTATTATTACAAGTTGTATTTTCAGAACCTTTCTCCCTGTTAGGATAAGACTTGAGATTGTTAGATCCAAAACATTAAAAAATAATCAAACAGGCCTTTCAGCATCTTATGCTGATTTATCTCCTTTTCTGCACCTCATTCAGTTTGGGCAAAGAAATTAGGCTGATCTCTTTTGCTTTCCTGTCTGAGGATCATTTGCCAGTGCTTTGTGGAGCGGCAGTTTGAGGGCTTGAGGCCAGATTTTCACAGGTACCAGATGCCTGAATATGCAGAGACCTAAAAAGTTTTCCAAAGTTTTTTGCCTAGACCCCATTAAATGATCAAAACCAAAGCAGGATAGGTATTATCTATTTCATCTTTGAGTTGCAAGTTATGGAGCTTTGGAAATCTGTGCCATGGTAGTGTCCTTTTGGCTTACATTCAAGAAAAGAAAATTGGAAAGGAAGGTGAAGTCAAGAATGCACTTGGTACTATTTTTCATAGGAAAAAAAAAAGGCTAATGAGAGCATTAACAAATGCATAAATACCTTATTAACATTACTCTTCTGTAATAATAAATGCTGTGAGGATGGTGTGCTGCAGTGAGTGGAAGAGAAGACAGTGTATGAAACAGTCTCTCTACTGAAAAGTAGAAAGGAGCCTGCAGTTTCTCCCAGTGTTTCTGGATGTGCTTGAATCCTTCTTCATGAAATTAAAAGAAAATGTCTGAGAGGCCATGCTACTATCAGTTTGGTAATGTTTTATTTCCTAAAGAGGAAGCTGAAAGAGTTTTTGTTGAGTTTGTATGTGCTTTTCTGCCTTTCTTTAATTTTATTCCTGTCCTGAAGAGTGCGGTCATTTATTGTGGGTTAGCCGTCAACGTATACTTGTAATGTATACACGTGCACATACACACTCCCAAACAGCCCATCAGCACACAGGAAGATGATAGATATTCTTTGCAGCCGTTACTAGTAAAAGCCTAGGAAATAGTATGGATTTGAATGTAACTCATTCATATGCTTATTTTAATAGATGATCCTTCAGCAATTGACCTCGACTCCGACTGGAAGGCTCCCACAGAGGAGTGGGGAAACTGGACAGGAGATGAGGAGCATCAGGCAGGAGATGAGAAAGAGAAGGTGATGCAGTGGCTCTAGGGACCATGGGAGACCTCCTCCTTTCATGGGTCAGGCTGGGGTGTCCAGTCCAGCACTAGAGGCTGGTTCCTCTGGGTGGAGGAGCTGCCCTGCCGCAGGGACCTTCCCTTCCTGGGACTGGGCGTATTCCCTTCCCCTGACCCACCTGTGAGAGCCAGAGCTGGAGGTACATGTTTCGAGGACGTGCGGTGAGCGTGGAGCCAAAGGAAGTCGTTTTGGAAAGCACCTTGCAGTCCTACCTGGACTCGCTTGTTTGGGGCACTTTATCCAAGTCTGACCGCCTAACCAGATGGGTCAGATGATTCTGGGAGTTTATCATCCATATGGCACCACTGTCCTGACCAGTAAACATCTGCTGATTGCCACATTGCATAAATTAGCTTCTTCTACTGCAGCTCATTTTCCTGAATAGCTGGGTCCTAAGATGTTCAGAGTCTACAGCTACCACCACCCTTTACCCCCTCCCAGATGGCTCCAAAATACATTTTTAAGTGAGAGCATTTGATGATAGTGATACAATCATCGTTTGGGTGGACAGGTGAAAGCACAAGGTTTGCTATTTAAACGCTCTCTAGAAAGCCAGGCAAATAGTGCTCTTTGGCAGTAGTGAGAAGAGCTGAGCTTTTGCAAATGACGGTCTTGCACCAAGGTGTGCACCTCATCCAGAGAGAGGCCCTGCTTGTACACTGCCAGCGCACAGTCCTAGGGATAACCAATTTCCTGAAAAAAAAGCATGTAATCAATGAATCCGTGCTCCCAGGCCTCCTCTTATAAAATCTCTAATCCTTTTAGGATTTACCAAAAGGCAAAGAAGACATTCATTTCTGTCTTTCTGGACGTGAAAGCAAAACGCAGCGGAAGAGGAAGAAAATTGAAGTGAAGGAAGCAAGGGATAGAGCTGGACTGATGCTTGTGAGTCTCTCATTTCCCCAGAGTAACGCTTGGTTTTCCAGGAGCAGGGATTTGTCTTCTCCATTAAAACAATGTTACTGGGGTTGACCTTTCCTCCCTGCCATCTCATGGCTTCCTCTTGTCTTCTCTTTCCTCCGTCCTCCCATAAGAGAAGTGTGAATACAGTGACCAGTAGGTTTTTTCAACATGGTGTTCCCTAACATATTTACAGAATAGTTTGATTTTGCCGTTCAGACTGGAGCAGATGGCTTTAATCATGGGGGAAAAAAAATGCTTTCTCAGGCATGGTGAAAGCAAATGTACTCTGCGTATGCTGTACAACTGGGCTATGTTTTATTTATGTTGGGAGGTCACCTAAAGGCATTTTTAACAATATAGGGAGGTGGTTCCTGAAAGTTAGTGAAGGTAAAACAAGACCAATGTTATACCAGTTAAAAGCTTACTGAGACAAAAACGTCATCAGAATGCAACAGAGGCTGTGGAAAAAGCTCTTAGCTCGTGTAGGATGGGAAGTACAAAAAGACTGTCTGTAAAGTTGGTGTTTGGACCAGTCCATTTGGCTGTGATGTACTTACTGCTCTGTGGAATGAGAAATGGGGTGGTGGGACCAGTGTGTCAGAACCGTTTTTCATTCACTTTGCCCCTGTGTATGTTGCTCGGGACACTTAGCAGCAGTGTAGTATCACTGACCTTTCTCTCACAACAACCTGCGGTGTCACCTGATCCCCGAGACAATTTTGCTCCCTGAACTCCTGTTGCCCCTTGTACAGCAATGAGACAAGGATGCTCCCAGCTTAAGACAAAAGCTTTTACATAACTCAGTGCCCACAGTCAATGACAGTCACATGGTCATTGGGACAGCCCACGAGTCACCTGAGCGCTGCCAGGCCATTCTCTCTCTTGTCCCTCCAATTAGTTGCTTTACTTGTCTGTATACCTTAATAAATAATCGTAATAGTCCTGTTCAGACTCCTCAGGACAGCATTGCTCCTACTGCGGTTTTTATGATGAGCTAAAAGGAGTTTGTTCTGCAAGTCACTGCCTGCTGCTGTGCAAGCTCTTCCTACAGAGGTATACATACAAGAGTTAAATAATAAATTATGAAGCCAGATACATAGATGAAGTTGCTCATCCAGTATTTTTGTAGATTTAAGTCATTTAGCAGTTGGTTGGGGTGATCTTAGCCTTCAGTCTCGTTATACAGCAACAATGCTTTCACCTCAGTATATGTTGCTGATTTTCTATCTGCTGGGGAAAATAAGGAAAAAAATGGTAGTGAAAGACAGTTGCAGCACTTTAATCCATTCTAAAAAGAAAAAGCAAACAGGAGGTAGGTAGTTGACATGCCATAGTCTAATCCTTTAAAAATTAATTTGTCCTACATTTTCTTTAAATACCCTAATTCCCTCCAATGATGACATTGTCTCTCAAATGTTGTACTTGCATATGCTTCGTTTAATTCATATGTTTAGTGAAGCATGTTGTTTCAATTAAGTCCCAGGAAGGTTGGGAAGCAAGAACGAAGGAACGCCCAACGGAGTTGATATCTACAAAACATAGCAGTGATACAGTCGGTGCTTCTTTCAAAATAGCATTGGATGTGGCTAATAATACACCCAATATCGGTAAGTGATTTTTTGTTGCACTTTTGATGCATTGTCATTTCAGAACAATGCATAATCTGAAAAATGTTCACAAATGCATTTTTTTAAATGAATATGCTAAATGCTTGTCCTTTAGCCACATGTATTAGTTCTTAAGGAGGCTCTATAATACTTTTAACTTTCTCTACAGCAAATACCTTTTCCTGCTCCTGTCATAGTTAATGAGCAAAACTGCTGTTGCCTGCAGTGGGAGTAATCTTTGCCCAGCACCATTAAACGTGAAACAAAAGGCACTAGTAAATGTATATGTGAGTCAGAGCCCACGAAAAGCGTCCAGAGCCTTCCCAATGACTTTGGATTAGCCTTGTAAGGAGATGGCCAATGTAAAATGTATCTGAGAATCACAAAGTGCCCTGCTTCGGACTGAAAGCAAACAATTGCTAAGGACATGATTCTGCAGTGGAAGAGTTGTGTAATAGCTCCTGTTGTCTGTATTGCAGATGTACCTGGAAAAAAGGAGAGGAGGAAGAGGAAGAAAATGAAGAAACAGACTTGAGGGAGCTGTGTAGCTGACAGAGTGAAAGCCAAATGGGGGCAGGCATGCTGATTAGCTGCAAGGATTCTGCTTTCTGCGAAGCTGCTCTGAGCCCGAAGCAGAGAGGATCTAGAAGATTTTCCAGAGAGTGGAAGAGGAGAATGGAGCAGTAAGCTAGACAGAGTGGGAGCGTGTGAGCGAAAGGAGAGAATGGCCGCACTGTGCCCAGGAGGTGGTGCTGAAACAGAATGGCTGTTAATAACCAATTGCTGCCCCTGATTAAAAAACTGTTGGGCGGATTTTGACCAGTTGCGTTAAATCCTTTCAGGTTTTCATGTGGTCACACTGTTTGTCGATTCATAATGTTACCTGCCGTTGTAGGAACGGTTGGAGCTCCAGAGCTGCCTGTGATCGTACTTCGATTCCAGGGAGGATCCACCAGTTGGTCTGGTCTCCTCTGGCATTTTTGCAGATGTGCTCATCGACAGTCTAGTAATGTACAGAAGAAAGCATTGATCCGAGACAAAGGGAGAATAATAAATAGATCATTCTTACAGCTCACAAATCTTTTAAATTTTTGCCTCATACATTGACATATTTATGCTTTTCACCCTGTGCTCAGGCTAGCCTGCTCCACAAGTGATTTCTAAAAGAGGTTTTAAACTTATTGGGAAAGATAGTATAAACCTTTTTTTCTCCCCAGTTTTCATGGTGGGCTAAAGTTTAAAGTTTGTGTGTCCAAAGCGTGTTGAATTTGCTGTACTTACAGTAGATCGAAATAGCTTTTTGAGATGGTTTTTCTATTCTGATGTTTGGAAGTTTTTATCATTTTGTTACTGAAGTATTCTAAGATAAACTACATTTGTGAATGAAATTTTTTTTTAATGTCAGTTTAGTGTACTTCTTGAAGAGCATGAATTTCTCATTGTCAGAGGGCTTGTAGCAAGGAGGAGGGAATATGTTACAACTGAGTCCTGTGATTTATAAATAGCACCAGACTAACACCACTAAAAACCAAAGCCCTCTATCCCTAGAGGGACTGCATCTTTCGTGGTAGCTATGTTTGTTTCTTCAGATTGTCCTGAAAATATGCCTCAACCTGACCCATTTCAGAAGTGCTACCTTGAAGGAGGAGATAACGATTGTCAGATCTCCATCTGCATTCGACCTTGTGCCTTTGGAGATCGTGTGGGAAGATTACAATTACTAATGCATGTTGAACATATGCTTGTTCATAGGGATCAGGCTGATGTTCTGCAACACGTTTCATTGTAGGACACTGAGTAACCATAGATGTTAGCGGCTTTGAACTTCCACAGCAGCGCTCCTGCATCGCTGAGCAATGCTGTTGGCATTGCTGAGCTCTCTATTTCTGCCATCTCAACCATCCAGTCCCTAACGTTGGCTTGTATGAGCTTTACCTAAAGCTCGACGTCTTTACCTGATAGCCTTCATCTGTTCCATAGCTTTCAAGCCAGCTTTGTCCTTCAAATAACCACAGCAATGTATTTATATATTTAAATTTCATTACTGTATGTGAAAGGACAGTTTTCTTCTGCTGTTATTTTTAGGGAGGCTAGCTTTACAGTGTGCCCTGAAGTTTAGCAAAGCAGGATTATTTCAGACAAACAGGTGAGGTGAGACAAATAGGTCTTAACTGATGCCGCTCATCAGCCCACTGTCTGGAATTTGCACATCTCGATGTAAGAAAAAGTATAGGCAATTTCTGAATGGAATAAATAGACCAAATGACTTTTTATCTGGAAAGTAATTGGTTCAGAGCAAACGCATAACAAGAAGACACATGGCCTCAATGGAGAAACAAGTATAGCAAGGTCAAAGATACAGAAGATGGGTTAATGAGCATGTAGGTAATGAGTAAAATTCTAACTCTGAAGCCAGTGGAAAACATCCATTGACCTCATTGTGGCCAGGATGTTGCCCAAGGTCTTTCTTTAGCATTGAAGATAACCTCTGTCATCAAAAAAAAAAAAAAAAAAAAGGAAGAAGAATGAAGGAGATAAATATTTGTAGACTCCAGATTTCATTTACTTTTTTCTCTATGTCTGCTTGCAAACTTTTCAATGTCTGTATAATCATGTTTTATTTCAACATATTACAGTATTTCAAATGTTTTTATAATAAAAATCAAAACTTTTGCCCAAAGCCCAGCACTCGTGGGCAGTTTTATTTTAATTAGTTCGCATTTGTGTGAATAACAGCAAGAATGTTTTGGCTAAAAACCATTTCGTTTTCCGTCTTCTAAGGAGATACTGTACATGTTTTTTAAGAGTTTTCCTTCATCTGAACCCTGTTTTTGTTAAGGAAAACCTATTGACATTCTTCTGTTGTTGGAATAAGGGAACAATTGGGACGTTTAACACTTGTAAATTCTCTATGATTCTGATGACAAGAAGCAGTCAATGATATTACCCAGTTTTTCTGTCAAATTCATCACTTCAGCTCTTACTGACATCCATGGTATCTGCATGGGTGTATATTTCTTCCAGCTCCACTATTTCATAGATGGGAAGCTACCACTGTAATACAGATGGCCTCAGTACTTTATATCAGCACATTATTTAATACTACATTTTAATGTAGACATTGCTATACTCAAGCAAATAATCCCTACAACTAATTACATGGGCTTTCCTAAAGCATGGGCTTTTCCAAATAATTGCAAAACTGTATTCAGGGCGAATTTGGTGGCAATACCCTGCTGGTGTGATACGTTGTATCAGTACCACTGCTGTGAGTAGTAGACAGGGTATGTTAGGTGACATTTGATTAATACGGCCGTAGTCGTTCCTGGGGCTTCCCTTGTGCAACATCCCCCAGCGCCGCTGTTACAGGGGCTTCCAGAGGTGGGCCAAAGTTTTGAAGAAATTGTGCTGAAAGTCTGGTTCCTCAGTGAGAGGGCTGAGTTCAAAACAAAACAAAACAACACAGAAAGCGCTCAGCAGCTGCTAACTTCCAGTCTTTCACTTCCTCGTCCTTGGAGGCTGAGAAACCATAGCTCAGTGTAATAAATGGCCTCTGCAGATGGCCAGCGTCTTTGAAAAGGAGACCTTGGAGTCCCTTATGACATGCCCTTTCCTTTCATCACTGCATGTTCAGCTACTCTCTGTTTTTTGTGCTTCTCAGACATCTCCCCCCTTCCCTTCTCTGGGAATTACCACTCTGCCCAGATCATCAGTCCAATATGCTGTTTCTGGCACCGGGAGTGTTGCATATGCTTGATGCTCTCGTTCTTGTAGGCCTTATCTGATCTTTACTAGTTGGAGTCTGGCATAAGCCCTCAGATGTGAGATTTAACATCTCTCCCACAAGTTTTAGCATAGATTTGGATATACCTGAATGTTTTAATTCTCTACATAATTTATCCCTTAGAGGGATAAATCTAGAGTAAACTCTCTGTTGGGAGAGCGTTCGGGAGCCCAGCGTAGTCTCATTGCCAGTTCATGGGCTAGATCCAGCTGGCTCCCCTTGCTTTTTCTCTAAGGGATTTATCAGTTGCTGGAGTGGCACATGCTATGGTAACAGCCAAATGCTCTCCCTGCACCTGCAGATGGCCCAGCAGCTAGAAATCAAGCCTCTGGTGTTGCCGCAGCGTGGGAGGTGGGGTGAAGTGTGGCTTGGAGATCTGCTTAGGAGCAAGGAATTAATTGCTGCAGCAGCAGCAGCTGCGAACGTTGAAGCGCACTGTTCCAGCTTTCTCTTAAACTCAATCTGCTCTGTTTTTCTAATGATACTCTTTCTTGTGGGAAGTCTTTTGAAGATGGGAGACTGGCTATATCCATACTGACAGGGTGATGGGTCCTTAAGACAGTATCTCAAGTATGAAGATGCGGTTGATGCTGTAAGTGATGAACTCGTGACCTAAAAAGCTGTGTTTACTTACAGGCAAACTGCAGCATATGGATGCAGGAGCTTTGCTTCATTTTCGAACTTTGGTGAAACACTGCCAGGGTTAAGTGGGACAACCTCAGCGAGGAATTTAGCCCATTGCTCTGTAATTATCTATTTATATAATAACACGGTTGCACCCAATCTACAGGCCAGTGGCATAGCTGACCCATTTGCATGAGCTGAGTATTAGGTAAAGCTAATTGCTTAGTAGAAATTATTTACCATGCTAACAACAAAGGCCTGCTCCAAAATAGTGCTAAAAATGCTCTAAGATTCAGACTCTTTGAGAGGCAAGGGGGTTTTATAAGCAATGGGCTAGAGATAGGTTAGAGATAGGATGTCTTGTCTTCTGTGCAAATAGTGTCGGAACAGATAGACCCAGGGGTCTTTCTGAGGTAAACTGAACTTTCCAGCATGTGCCATCCCTGACATTGTGCTTTACAGATGTTCTTATCTGCAAAGGAAGTGTCCTCCCCAGCTGAAAGGAAACTGTAATTCATTGGTCCCAGAAATAAACTCTCTGCAGCTTTTCAGGAAAAAGGCACTGTAACAATAACTGACCCTTGTATTGTCCCACCAAGAGACTTCTAGAAATTTCGTGAACTTTATTTTATGTCAGACTTTGATATCTGTATGCATGCAACATTTTTATTTGGTAGTGGTTCTCAGTACCCGCCTAATAAGCTATAGAGACACATAATAACTGATTTTATCAAGTTCTTTTGACTGCATCAGCTGCCTGTCACTGTGTTCTTTCTGGAACTCTTTTCCTGCATCCGAAACTGCAAACAGATTCAAACAGCCAGTGTTTAAAGAAATAACAAATCTCCACTAGGTAACTCTTCCCACTTCACTGCACTGGTAGCATTTTGCTCCCCAGCCTCCTGGTCACCCTGCCAAGATTCATGAAAGACAAGTCTGGGCTCCGGGCTGGAAGGGGGAGACTGCCAGTAAGTAAAAGAGATTTCCATTTTCCAGAGGGAGCAAGCACTTACTCTTAGTCATGTGAAAGTACTGAGATATCTGAACTTGCAAGTACCATTTTAGATCGAGGGAAATGGTGTATGTTATTTTTAGACGTTTTTACTCCTTCTCAACTGTATGAAGCCTGATTAAAATGAGCTACAGCTCTTTTAGGCTAGCAGATTTTTTTGATTCTGTAAATGAATATAAGAATTTTTCTTCAGTGTTTGATATTCAGAAAACCTGATAGTACAATGAGTAACCCAGAAACAGCCTTGTGCTAATAAAAATTTTACGTCATGCTGTCATATTTTAGCTGCTTTTCTTAACCATGACTTTCTGATCCATCTGTTACAAGTTAAAAGGGTTGGAACTGAGTTAAATTGACTCTTGCTGGTAAAAGATAATTCATATTGTTGCAATAATCAACTGGAACAAAAAGTACAGAAGATTGGAGCATTACGTTAAGAACCCCAAAATGACGGTGATTAACTCAATAAACAAAAAAATAAAGTACAATAACCGCAAAATTCAAGGGATACATTCTTATCTCCTGTACAAGAAACCACTGAATCTCCACATTAACTTGTTTTCTTCTAGCAGAATCCATCTTGAAGAAAAAGGCTGGTAAAATTTCCTAATGCTGACTTCAGGATATCTAGGATTTCACTGTGTGAGTCACCATCAGGAAAGTTTCTCTCCTGACTAATTCGTTTTAAGTTCCCCCCCCCACCCCGCTCCCCGCCTTTTTTATGAAAGCAAAAAGCAACCCAAGCTCTCAGCTCAAGTATTTTCACATCTTCTGCACCAATCCTATTGATTTTTCTAAATTCCGTTGAAGGGGTATGATGTTTTATACTGCAGTATTTATATGAAGACGTTAGTTTCTCTGTGGTTTTGCAAATCTTGGGGATTTCTGTTTTTATTTTTTTAAATATAAAAATCTTTTTTGGTGTGGAAAATATATGTGAGAAGCAAAGTCACCTTTCCTCTTTCTTCTGAAAAGGTCGAATAGTAGAAAAGCATAGAGTCAACATACGAAAAAAATTATAAAAGTAGCTTGTTACTGTAGTCAAGTGTCAGTGATTACTTGGGATGGAAGAGCTTCTACATGCTCTTCATTTCAGCTTTCATTCCCTGGCAAAGTAGCCACTGGACATGAGACTTGTTTTATGTTCTTACCATTTTCACTTTGTGGTATTGGTCAAATCATTTCATCTCACTGTGCCTCAGTTTCCCCAACCCCACACAGGACAGTATTTTCTTCATCAAGTGCTGTGAAATGTGTCCGTGGAGGCTACATATGATTATCAGCTAATTCTGTGTAGGCTTCCCCTCATACACACACACACACAAAATGCTAGAGTAGAATAGCAGCCCATCTTTCATAAGCAACCTGATAATAGATCAGCACATGCAGGCAAGAAGTAATGATTACAACATAAGTCTAACCCAATACTTTTTAGCCAAGGATTGATAGAAGAATGGAATAAAAGGAACAGGCTGTGAAATAATAAAAATCTATGTAAAAGTCTGAGTGCGGTACTGTTGTGACATCTTAAAGGTGTTCAGTTTTACTTTTTTGACAGAAGTTGAAGGAGAATGCTACCTGACCTCTCCTTTAACATGACCCTAGCTATTCTGCCCTCACACATAGCTTTGTATTATTTTAGAATATGATTATGCAAAAATAATAATGTGTGTTTGGTAACAAATTGCCATGCACTTATGAGACAAACCTCCTGTCTAGAGATAGAGTTTGGAAGACCTCACCTGGCTAATGAAGAACATCTTGATGGCAAACCTCCTTCCTTCCCTCCTTACCTGAGAAGGAAGAAGGAGTTAAGTGTCATCTTAGGTAAAGGCATCTGAATCATTCGTTTGCAGCTGCTTCTGACTAGCAGGCATGTTTAAAGCTTTCTACTCCTGTTGTTGCGTAAGTGGACAATTGCTCCCACAATGTCAAGGTCTCTTTCCTATTTTGGAAGAAAAGTTTATCACTAGTCCCTTCCGCCTCTGAGATTTTACTCTGGCTGCCATGACTGTAAACTGAGTCCTTCAGAAATATTAACATATTTAGCCTCAGAAATCCTTTCTGAAATAGCAAAGAGAGAAAATTGAGGCTCA